TGTTTTTTTTTTTTTTTTTTTTTTTTTTTTTTTTTTTTTTTTTTTTTTTTTTTTTTGCTGGGCTAGCACCCATGGAAAGTAAAAAACAAAACTGATCTACTGATTTAAGATCTCAAAGATGTGATCTGGACTCCCCTGGCCCGGTCCCCTGCTATTATTTCCTGCTGACAGCAGGATCCCTTTTCCAAGGATGAAGGAAACATCACAGGGCAAGACTCAGTTTTCTCCTGGTCTTAAGTCTCAGGCCAGAGAATGAAAAGCTTCTGTAATATGATAATGTGGATGAAACAGAAAGACAATAAATCCATGAGAAGAGCAATTTAAAACCCTTTCCTTGGATGAGGGGCTCTAAGGTGGCAGCATGGCTGGGCCAAGGAACAAAGGCGTAGGCAGGAGAGAGGCAGGTTCCCCGGGGCCACACAGAGGCCACAATCTCCCTTCCCTCACCAGAAGGCCCTCAGGGGAGACAAGTAATTTTCCATGAAAACCTGGCCTATAGCTGATTTCCAAGATCCGAGGAATAAATTTCTATTTATTCGAGTGTAGAAAATGCTTCACTCAAGTTAAAGTGACATTTGCCACATAATAATTTGTACTAAAACACAAATAAAAGATTTTCTAGGAACAAAGATGCGATAAGGCCCCCACCTCCCAGGGGCCACCAAGGACACACATTGCTGGAGGAAGACAGGAGGAAAGAGAGGCACTCAAGGCCCACCCAGCGTGCACAAAAGCTGATGCTACTGGAGGTGCGGGTAGGGGACAGTGACAGGGAGTGGACCAAGCACAGGATGGGATGTGGACCACTGCTGAAGCTAGGCGCTGGCTATGTGGGGTTTACCTCTATCACTTCTCTGGACTTTGTTGACGTTTTGAGTATTTTCCACAGTAAAACACTGGGTGGAAAACACATGCACAAACTTATGCCTGAGCTAAGCTTTGAGAGAGGAGGTGGGGGTACAGTTGGTAAGTGTCTGTCCAGAGAGGACAGTGACTGACAGCAAGCTCCTGCCAACGCCAGGACACCACACTTACTCCAGAGGACACACGGCAGAGGTGTACCAGGAGAAGAGGTACTGGCAGTCGGCAGTCTCGTGGCTGAACTCGGGGATCCCCTCCTTCACCGTTGGGTCACAGTGGAAGAAGATGGTGGAAGAGACCGTTTTTGTCTTGTCTTTCCCACACGTAGAGGACGAGGCAAACACCACATCCAGATCGCCATCTGTCAGAAGGGAGGCGGACACAACCACGGCAACGTTACCATCAGCGTTTCGGGAACAGGCTGAGTTTAGCTTTTCAGAGTTTATATATAAGTTTGCAAAGGCTTAAAACCAGGCACAAGGGTCCTTCCTCAGATGTCCCGTGTGTGCTCTTCACGGACCACCCGACACACACTGTGGAGCCCCCGCCGTAAGTCGGCGTGAGACCTGAACCTTGTCCTGGAAGAGGTCTGCTTTCGTTCTCCGCCAACGATACAATCTGGAATGGCAGCTGGCCAGGAGGTCACCAGCCAGCCAGCCAACCAACCAATCAATGAATCAGCCAACCAGCCAGCCAATCAACCAATCAACCAGCCAACCAAGCAACCAGTCAATCAATGAATCGACCAGTCAGCCAGCCAGCCAATCAACCAACCAGCCAGCCTATCAACCCAGCCAACCAACCAACCAAACCTACCCAATGGAGCCTCGATAAAAGCCTGGCCATCAAGGGGCCGTGGGCTCCCCTGGTTGGCAATACTCAGTGCCTGCTGTCACCCACTGACACTGGGAACGAAACACGTCCTGATTCCACAGGGAGAGAACAGCAGAGCGTCGGGCTCCCTCCGAGCCCCGCCCTACGTGCTTCCTCCCTGAGCTGACTTTAACCTTTATCCTGTCGCTGTGATGAACTATAACTGTGACTAGCAGCTCTCAGTGAGTTCTCTGTCCTTCTAGTGAATTATCGAACCTGAGGGTGAGGATGGGAGCCCCCCAAACTGGCAGCTGGTGTCAGAGGTGAGGAGCCTTGTGTGGATTCAGCCCCCTCCACACTGCCGGCGGCTCGAGCTGTTCGGGCAGCTACAGCTGGAGGCCAGGGAATTTACGTGTGAGGCGGACACGTCCACAGAGGGGAGCCCTGGGGCCCAGGCTGTTCAGTTCACTCAAATGGATGCATGTAAGGCAAGAACCAGACCAGGGCTTTGCTTTAAAATGTGAGATTTCAACTGAAGGGGGTTGAAAATTTTAAAGCTCTTTCTTCAAGGAAGTTAAATGTGGAACAACCATGGAAAAGAACAATTACCTTGGATGTAGTATTTGGTTTTCTCTGAAGTTCCAACTTTCCTACTGAAGTGTGGGTCATTCGGTTTAACCTGGCATATGTTGGCTCCATAGCAAGCCGGATTTTGGGAGCTTGTGATGGACGAAAGCTGGATTTCATACAGGTACTTGTCCCCATTAGTTCTCATGTCCCCAGAGGCGCTGAATGGCCTGAAGAGACAGAAAAGATGGCCATGACTCTGGCAGTCCTTTAAAACGCCCTTTACTACAGACCCAAACTCCTGGGAGCAAGTGCAGGGCCGCAGGCCGCTCCCGTTCTCCCATCTCCCGGCCTGGGCGGCACATCCTCAAGCCCACGAGCCTGAAAGGACTCCGGCGGGCACCACCTTCCATCCCCATGGCCTCTGCCCCTGGCTCGCACTCTGAGCAGGTGCCTTCCTCGAACTGCCCAGTAGCATGCCCACCTCACCCTGCCCAACACAGCCAGTCACCTCGGCCACCCGACCCCAAGGACCCCCCCAGTGACACTGCAAAGAAACTGGTCATTTTCCCAGAAGTTGATAAGCCCACAGATTCCCTGATCAAAAAGAGTTTCCGAAGCATTTGGCTTCGGCCCCTGGGCTTATCATAAAGTGAGGGGGGAGGAGCGACTTTATTTTTACACCCGAGAGAATTCGCCATCTTTAGTGTTAAAACTTAATAGCTGAGCGATGCTTTCCCTTGGTTGAAGCAAACTATGCCGACCACCTAGAAACAGTAACTAAAGCACACGGCCTGTGTATCTTGCCGAGCTCCCCGCCAGGGAGGGATCTGAAGGGCTGGGTTAATCTGGGATACGTTGCAGTGCTCAAAGGAAAATGTTTCACTCACTTAAAATAAATGTCTCCAAGGCTGACGCTCCTGCCGTTGACCGGGTTGGTGACGGTCCCATTGACCATCTGCACCTCCTGTGGCTTCACGGCGCAGGCGGCCCGCGAGTCCCAGCTGAAGTGGTAAGTGCAGCGGTCCGCGTCAAACCTAGGGGCGGCGCAGGGGCCGGTCACGCCCAGCAGGCCCGGCTGCGGGAGCTGCTCAGGCACTGGCAGCACAAGGCCTCCGCCCGAGGGCACTCCTGGCTTCAGGGCTCCAGCGTCCGTCCCCAAGGGCCTCGGGTCCCCACGGGGCCCCCAACGCCGAGCCTCCGCCTCCCTCCCTGTGACGGGCACCTGCTGGCAGCTCTGGCTCGGAAAGCTATTTTATGCCCTGTCCTCAAGGCCATCACAGGCAAGAGAACCAGCTAGGACATCAGCAAGGTGAAAAAGCAGGCAAGGGTCCAATACAATTTTTTAAATTTAGAAACCGCAACGTCTAAAAGCTGAAAAAAATTTGCTCCTAGGTTTTTGAATTTTTATTTGACAAGCATTTTGGACTCATAAGCTGATTAAGCCTGTGGACAACCGACAATTCCTGAGTCTTCGCTTTTCCAAGCCCAGCTCCGGGAGGAATCCTCTGTACGTACGTACACACACACACACACACACGGACACACACACACACACACACACACGCTCACACGCTCCCTCTGCTGGCCAGACCTTTCCTCACACCGGATGCAGAACTGCCTGGAGAATTCTAGCACATTCCAGGAGCATCCCAGGTGCCAGCCCCACCTGCCCATGGGCTCCAGACTTGAAGACCGGCCTTGCCTGGCACCAATCCATGCCCCTTTGGTTCTGTGACTTTCAAAGACGGAGGCCAGTTAAATGCTGCCTCACATGGTTGCTTCAGTCTAGTAACCGTGTTCCCCACACATTTTCCTTGAGGGGAGCAGCCTTGCACACTACAGGACACCAGGCAGCCCTGCACCCCCACCCCGGCCCTAAGTCTCAGTGCCAGTCCCCTCCCTATCATGACCATCTACACGCTCTCCCTGCTCATTCACAAGCCCCAGGTGAAAAGCAGAGGGAATTCTGAGGGGCTCCATGGTTCCCCTCGAGGCCCCGACACCCTCTCACCTCTTGAAGGCCGGCCTGCCCACTGTCTTCGCACAGCTCAGTTCTATTACGGTGGACACAGTCTGGTTTTCACCACACTCGTCACCTTTTGAATATGTCACAATGATTTTGTCATCTGAAATACACAATAATTGAAAAGATGTTACTTCTAGTGCATGATAAAACCTTCAAAATCAGAAGCCAAAATCTACACTAAGGACGGGACAGTGGTTCCCTCAGAACTCACCGTCTCTGTGTCAACAGCTTCGAGTGAAGTCAAGTCACCTGTGGTTCAATCACTCAAGTCTAACAGGCAAAGGTTCCACTAATACACCCCCACTGCTCCTGAACTACGCAAGCCCTACCTGCTCCTCTACATAACAGAAGGTAAAACCTCACACTCAATACCAACTGCGAGATGAATTTCCTATTAACACTATTAAAAAGAGCTTTGTTAGTATTTCCCAAATTGTTAAGACATTACAAAAATGTACCCCTGAATGGCCTTTACCAAGTGCACCTGTCCAGCTTTCCCCAATATACGCTTGCACACACACCGGTAGACTAGCCACTCAACCCCCCTCGGGAGCGAGGACTCAGAGGGACCCCACACATCCTGCCTTCCTCCTGGGAGAGGAACCTCCCCAAGAGGGCTGGACACTCTAAACACCCAGGCCCAGACCTGCCGCCTCAGGGAATATAAAATAGCCCTTATTTCAACATCCCAGGAGTTGCCAGAAGGCCTGAGAAAGGGTCCTGGGGACAGTACCTGGAAGTTTCATCCAAGGTCTGCGGACCCCTCCCGGCCACTCGAGATCACCCCGCCTCCCACTCTGACGCAGCACCTGCACCACGTGACAGGACCCCGGCCTTACCTACAACGTCCAGCTTCTGTGTATGCACCAGCCCCAGCACTTGCACGTCCCCGGATGCGCTCTTTTTGCAAATGCTGGCTCGGTCAGAGCAGTCAAGGGGCCCTTTGTATATTTTCTGACACAAATTTATGTAGTACCTGTGAAAGGGCACAAGGGCGGGGCAGGGGACAGGTCAGCCTCAGCCCTGACTCACTCGGAGCAGCTCTGTCTGCTACTCAGAAAAAGCCGTCATTCTGGTAACGAAGGAACCGCAGCACCTTTGAGAGCAGCACTTAAACAACTTTTCAAGTAAAGATAGGACAGAGTCCCTACTGGGCAAGGGGCGCCAACTGCCAAAAGGGGTAAACCCTGAGACGTATGCGGTTCGGAAGGGCTTTGGAGTGGGGGCAGATAGCAGCTCAAATCCTAGTGCACTGCTCACCTGAAAGGCGACTTCAGTCCTCCAACTCCATGTCCCCTCTGAGGGGAACACTTGAGGACTGAAAGCACCTGGCAGAGAGTGGGCACCCTACACCTGGAGCTGGCACCCTACACCTGGAGCTGGCACCCTATACCTGGAGCTGGCACCCTACACCTCGTGCGGTCGGTACAATTAATGCACCTCGGACCAGTGCCGCCTAAGGAGTTCATGCCGAACAGCTGGAAGAATAAACACACCTTCCAGGAACCAGCATCTGACCCACACAAGTCAAACGGAGCCTAACCGGTCAGGCCAACAGCTGACCGCGAGCTGCTTTGGTTTCTGCTCAGCTCCGCCTTCTAAACCATGCCTGATACCCCTGGGCTGCTCCCAGGGGCACAGAAGCACCCAGGCCAACCTGAGGACCTGGAGGGGACCATCACGGGCCCACCACTGTCACGAGAGCCTGGCACAGCTGGCGAGTGGGCAGGTACTCACGAGGCCCCGTCGTGCACAAAGAACCAGGAGCCGGTAAGGGAGGACAGCAGCCGTAGGTCGTAGGTCTTGTGGCCCTGGATGAACCTGCACTCCATCTTCTCTGGGGGGCAGACCACTTTTGTCTTCCACTCGAATGTCACCTCACACCCACGCGTCTCGCTGAAGACCTGTGGCCTCCCGATATCAGCCTCCTCATCGCACGTGAAGATGATGGCAGACGTCCGGTGGCTGTTTGCTGGGAAGCGGCAGGCGAGGGCGGGGGAGCCATCAGACCACACACGGCTGTGCCTCAAGCTGTCCTCAGGCTCCCCCGGCCGCCCCACGCTACCCCAGCCGGGCCTCGCTTTGTTTCATTCACACGCATCTCAGCCCTAAACAGACCAGTGTCCCCCACTGAACCCCACAACTTCACAGCGCAAGCACAATCCCCAAGGACAGGTATTCAGACTTGATCAAGGCACCAAAGGTACGGAAGACTAACCCGCAATGACCTGAAAATGTTTGACTGTCATTCAACAGGCCAGGAAAAGCATCCTGTCACAATGACCCTCAAAACTAAACTTCAATAGTCCCTGGAAAATTGAACACTTATAACTCCTTATATATATACCATTCTGATGCCTGATCTCGTACAAGAATTACATAACTTCTTATGCATTCCTCTCATCTTGCTTTCCTTGGGCACTCACATCAGACAGTGTCACACACATTAGTAGGACTCTCTCACATCAACGGTGTCTAAGCCTCACCGGAGTAAGGGCACTAAGTTGGGTCCACCCTGACGCCCCCAGCTTCTGGCCCAGGCCTGCCAGAGCACAAAGTCGATGGAGGAGCCCACAGCTACTCCTGATTACAAGCAGTCATTGTGCTGAGGCAGGAAATTGAGTCACCAGTGTTGGCAATGGGCGTGGGGACACAAGCCTCCCAAGCTAGTGAGTGAGCCTCACTGACCGCCCAGCATGTGCCTGTCAACCCGGCTGAGGTCTACGCACGTGGTACTTACACTGTCTGCAAAACCCCCACTCGTGGTCTCGGTCGTAGTTGGCGGTTGTCGCACACCAGAGCCTCACCCTGTTCTCCAGGACACATTCGTCGTAGCTCTTCCCGTTGAGTATGAAGGGGAATACACAGGGGTCACCATCCTCCGTTTCTGGAAGGAAGGATATCGGCATAACCCAGGTTGCCCCACAACATGGGCTATGCTCTGCAGGGTGCGGTGACCAATGCCCATCAAGGGTCTCCCACAGAAGGGGTCACCCCAGACCACCTTTGGGACCTCCAGCCTCCTGCCACAGTATGACACGCAGGTCACGGGCCAGAGTGTGTTTCAGGCCTGAGCACCTGCTCCCAGGGCTGTCAGGGCCTGACGTCCATGGTCCAATCCAGCTCTCGGCCCTCACAGAGTTGGGAGCTTCCCTCCAATTTTCTCCCACTGCCAGGTCTAATTCCACATTTTCCAGGAAGGTAAATGTCACCCCACTGCAAAGCTTTACCTGGAGGGCAATTGTCTCCGTTGGCGTAACTTAGAATGACCGCTTCGTCCTGGTGCCTGTAGTCCAGCCTCATCGACGCCAGCCGTCCGAATGACACCCCCTTGCTCCCGGAGAGCAGGCAGACGCCTCCGTCCTTGCAGCCGCCTTCGTCCAGGCCCGCTGCCGCTGTGCACACCCCCACGCTGTAGGTGCGCGAGTCTCGAGTCACCTGGACAGACAACACCACGTGACTGTGAGCGGGTCCCCGGGTACAGTCACCACTGCAGGGGGCAGCGTGGACAGGAAGCAGGGCTGCACCTGCATGCCGTGTGTCAGAGCCACAGTGCTCGCCTCCCGTCCCTCCGGTCAGTCCTGGCCGTCCTCCCTGCTCTTGGGCATCTCCCTCCAGCCACTGAAAGGACCCACACCTCCCTCCATCCTGGGCCCAGCCTGCTTCCTGCTCCCGCCCCCCAGTGGCAGCACACACTGCGGGCCTCCCCCTGCTGCTGGGAGAGCATGGGCCACTCAACCCCATTCCTGAAGCATCTCCCCACCTAGAACATGGGGGCTGAGGACTGAATTAACGAGCACAGAGTGGGCACTCCATGATTAGCCGTGTACCTTCCCTTCCTTGCTGCCCCACCCTCTGCAGGCTCACACCTACTGCACACCTATAGGGAGGGCCTGAGTCTGAGCCAGGTCTGTTACAGGATCCAGGGCACACGATTCGGAGCTCAGCACTCACCAGCTGCTACCCCCAGGGAGGTGCTGGGGTCCTGTGGGCAGAGCCCACAGCCACATGACTCAGTAACGTCTAGATCATGGGCCTACAGGTCCAGGATCTCCCAACCACTGGTAACCTGAGATGGCCACAGCTTCGCTGACATAACGAACAGTCCATAATATGCAGGCTGGGAGCAAGATAGGCCCCAGGCTGGCTCAAACGTGTCTGGAGTCGGGGGGACCCCCCATCTCCCTCCGCCATCTCCTCTGTGGTCAGTGAAAAGAGCTGCCTTTCTCATAAAGCCAGGCTGACCACGAAGTGGAATTCCACGTGGCCTCTGCTAGCTGCATGAGACCTGGCCCTGCCCCTGTGGCTACGTGGGCACAGGCACGTCCAGAGCCACCTCTCATTCTTCATCTATGACATGGAGGACCCCCAGGTGACCTCACAGGGTCATTTACTCCTCACACAGCCCTAAGGAGGGGAGAACTCCGACCCAGTAGGCACAACTCTAGTGTCAGCTGTGGCTGGACAGCCACTGAACCCAGAACCCCTGACAGGCTGACCCATCCATGCACCCAGATGGCAGCTAAGACTGCCACCCCTCCATGCCCACCTCGGTAGGCACATATCCTTCAGTGGTCACATTTTCTAAAACACAATGGGTATCGGAAAGAACCCAGGCCACTGCCCACCCCCCCAGACCCTGGGCCTGGTAAGTGGACTGACTACCTTGAAGGTGCTCTTGGACAGGCTGGACAGGTTGAAGCTGTAGTAGAGCTGCTCATCCATCAGGGAGCAGCCATCCGTCTTCACCTCGTCGGGACACACGAGCGGGGTCTCCCATTCGAACACAAAGTCACAGTCACTGGTCCTCAGCAGCTCGGGGGTCCCCTGTCGGGAAAGAGAGCACAGGTCTAGACAACCCACGTGGGTTAGTTAGGCACCGTGCCCTCCCGTGCTTGCCAACCCTTGAGCACCAGAGACACAGGCTGCCAGGCTGCGGGTACCCTTCACTGCACCCAGGAAAGGGTCCTGGCCACAGCCACGGACCACTGGGTGTCTGGGTGACTTGCTGAAGAATGGGGACAGAGAAGCGTGTGAGACTGAGACCCTGCTGCATGGAGGGAAGCAAGTCCTTCGACCTGCTCACAGCAGCGTCCCACCCTTACAGGCAGTGTCCCCGTGCCACCATTTCCAGAAACGGGCCATTTACAATGTGGGTGGGACAATCCACAGCCAGACACTGCACAGGCTGAGGGTTTCCAATCCCTATATTTATTCTCTCACTCAAAAACAGCCACAAAAACAGGTGCGACAACTGGTTGGGAGCTGTATTTTCATTACTGCTGGGAATTCTTTTTCCTAGAAACTCAAGTGGAAAAAGTATTTCCACTAAAGATTAAAACCACAGGGGAAGAAAACTGCCTTAAAATCTTTCCAAAAGTGGAATAAGCATTCAGTACGGGAGCCTCCGGAGCCAAAAACATGCAACGCCAATCAGGGTGAAGGAGCAGAAGTGCGCGGCCGTCCAGCCCGCGGAGCTGCCCCGGGCATGGGGCGTGGCAGGCTCTGCTCACCACCAGGTGTGGGATGGCCAGGGGCGCCTCCCGCGAGACGCCCGCAGAAACACGCAGACACACGGGAAGGCGCCCAGCCGACGGCGCACACCGCCCGCCTGTCCCGCATCGGCCGCAGCCCACCGCTCGCACACAGCGTCACGCCCAGCCGGCCGCTCTGGGGGCTCCACATGCAAAGACCCCAGGCAGCGAGGCCTGGTGCTCCCCCTTGTCACTTCCTGCCACTGTCAACACGCAGTCCCCGGCAGCCCTGCCTCCACTGCCCTCACAAACCTGCTGGAGGCCAAGGAATCGGAAAGTCGTCCTAGCAAACTGCAAGACGCATTCGACAACTAGTCCATGGCCTGAACTCCTAGGACCAGCTGAGCCCTAGGACTCACCACTGCCAGGATTTTAAGAGGGAAGGGGGTGGATATACAGGGGTGGGCAAAACTAGGTGTACAGTTGCAAATGTGAAAATTGTAATATTATGTATTGATTATTGCATTATTTCCCGTATGAACAACTGTACACCTACTTTTGCCCACCCCTGTATATATATTTTTTGTTAGTTTTCACCCGAGGATATTTTTCTATTGATTTTTAGAGGGGAAGAGAGAGAGAAACATTGATGTGAGAGAGACAGATTGATTGGTTGCCTCCCGCAAGCACCCCGAAGGGGGCTGGGGATGGAACCTGCAACCCAGGTACATGCCTCTGACCAGGAATCGAACCCATGACCCTTTGGTCGGCAGACCGACACTCTAACCACACACACACACACAGTCCTGCCACCAAGTATATTAATATTTCTGCAGCAAAATGTATAAATATTCCCATCAGGTGGGACAAATACAGTCTACAGCAGCCTTAGTCCATTCATGTCACAGGACTAGAAGTTTCCCAGGCTTATGGGTTCCAGGTGCACAGATGAGGGGCTGCAGAGCTGGCTGCCGGGAGCAAAGAGCTTACCCCAGAGCAGCAGGGGGGCACCCGGCTGCCACCGCAGAGCTGTGGACATAGGCATGTCCCCCAGCTGTTCTGAGATACAGAGAAACGGGGGCCATAATCTCCTAAACCTCCTAGTTTATCTCTTTTCATGGGGGGAGGTGGGAAAGAAAAACATATGCAAAGGCTCTATAATAAAATATTACTTTTTTAAATGCACAGAGAACAGAAATCAATAACCTCCTTAGGAGTAAAATGCCCAACTTTGCTGGACCTATTCTGAATCCAGGGGTCTCCTTTCATTTGCTAACTTCTGAACTCGAGGTGATTACAACTGTCGAGAGTCTGTCAGACTTCCCAATCAGAATCAATCACCAATGTTACAGTTAAAAAAAGAAAAAGCTATGACCCTTTTTACACTGGTGCACCAAGCTGAATACTCCTGTACTCAGGCTGTTCGTATCTTTAAATTACAGTGAGTCCGTGTGCAAAACCTGCCCTGTCAATTCAGGGCCAGCTCGTTCACTGCTGATTGTTCATTAAATTACTCAGATGGTGTGATACAAGCAGATCGTGAGCAAGGGTATCCTCAGAGCTGAAAAGGGCTCCGTGGGTTTCCAGCTCAGGCTCACGAATGCACACTCCAGCTTCTACCTGTACACATGTGGCACACTTACCATGCTCACACCTCGCTTACAGTGGAAGGCGATCAGGGAGGTGTAGTTGAAATGCTTGTCCGCTAAGCAGGGAGTGCTGCTTTCAAAGTTCAAGTAAACTTCATTCGCCACGGAATTGAGTATGGGAGGTCCTGTGACTCGGCCAATATCCTAAACAGAGAAAAGCGCAAATGTTTCGGGAAACTCATTGTTTCCCGGGTTAACACAAAATTGCCAAAATTACACCTTACGCGTTTTGAAAATGAGCAGTGTCTGAGGAAAATGGGTTAAGAACAGCATCTCACTTGGCAAGTCCTGACATTCAGATGCCACGCAGAAAATTCAGTGTTTCATGGGTTTTCAGTTTTGACCCAGTTAGTGATAATGGCTCTATTTATACTCACAGAACTTTGAAAGGTCCCAGCTATAGATAGGCATTCCTCTCCCCAGTCACACCGAGAATGCCGCACCGCTCCTGCGACCCAACAGAGGGAGGCAGGAATCCCCGTCTGTGCCCCACACTGACCGTCTCATGCCCAGCACTGCACTGGGACTGCACGCTCACTTGGCAGTGCCCCCAGCCGGTCCTCCAGGAGGGCACAGCCTTGCTCTCTGCCACCGACACACTGGGTGCTCAGTACACATTTTGGAGTAAACGAACATAAGAAGGAAAGAAAGGTGAAGGCCAGGACTGGGGTGTGTGAGTGTGTGAGTGTGTGTACTCTGCATTTATCATGTGGGTCATGTTCAGGCCACAACACTGCAATACCCTCTCTAATTAGATAATTTACTAGTTTTTAAAATCTGAAAAAGTAGCTGGGCAATAAAATACAGCAGATGGACCATCAAGACCCCCAGCCTGCACTGCTGGGCAGGATGACAGACATGCTCCTACAGAGACTTGGTTTACCCAGCCCTCCACCTCCCCCGGGGCTGCGGCTCTGCCAGCCACCTCTTGAGCAATTTTCCTGCCCACTCCTGACGATGTCCATCTTTTAAAGAACATCTAGGTAGCTTAGGATGGGGCTCACTATTTAAAGAAATACAGAGAAGAAATACACCACTTTTGAGATGCATTTCAAATAATAACACCTACCAAGGATTTGATAAAACATGAATATAACTCACAAAGACAGGTTTTGAAGATCCAAATCTATACTAAGAAATGCGAGTATAAAACCAAAGCTTTCAAGGCCAAGTATTTAGCTGTTAGCAAAGCCACTTCAGCCCTTAAGTATCACTTGTTTACTAGAGTCCTTGCCCTTCACAGCATGTTAATGATAACAGACGTGCATTTCAAAGAAACCACACTCTGCCATGTTCTTTCTTGTACTTTCCATAAAAATTTCTCCATTGGGGTCAACCTTGACACACCTCACATGACACAAAAGAGTGTGTCTACACACGTGTGTTCACACTTCCTTCCACAGCTCAGAGGCCTCCTGGCCACCGTGGTCAGCTGTCAGCTCAGCGCACAAATCCCTACACTGCTCTTCTCCGTGGTCCCAGGACATCACTGTCCCAGGTGGTACCTCCACTCACTCTGCTTGAAAAACTCTCCAGTGAAAGCAAGAAACACAACAGGCAGGTTTATTGTTAATCGTCTGGCAAACATTGTTTCCGCCCTTGGGTTTCCCACACTTACTATGGGGGCTCCGTCCACAGGCACCTTGCACACAGCAGCTCCGGCAGGGCAAGCCACCCCATGCATGGGGTTCAGCGGCTGGCAGATGTTGATGTAGAAGTCAGGGTTGGTGTCGGAGGAGTCATCCTCACTCTCGTCATATGCCTCGTAACCTCCAGTGCGGTGGATGAGGGGGGACAAGTCGATAATGGAGCTGCCGTTCTTCACGGAACATTCCGTCTGTTGGAGAGAAGATAGTTCACTGGCATCTACAGTCAAAATTTCCTAATCACCATGAACTCACCCACAAGGATTTAAAAGCTGAACAAAACAAAAAAATGCACAGAAGGCAGAGTAATGGCCCCAAACGCTGGTTATATAACACGGAGCACTTTGAACCAATTATTACTGGGACCATTGGGAGTGGATGAGATGACTGGGTATCTGCTGGGAGGGCCAAGCAAACCTGGGTGCACCTGGGCTTTGGGTGCTCCCGGGCACTCCTCAGATGCCACATGTGCCCAGCCCCCGACTCACCGCCTGCTCGCAGGCCAGGGGGGTGTGCCAGGAAAAGAAGAGCGTGCACGTCTGCTTGTCGAGCGAGATGAGCATGGGCTTGTTGGTGGGCCCGGCCTCAGGCCTACACACGAAGCTGATGACGCTCTTGTACCTCAGGCCGGATTTGGAAGGACAGAGGGAGCCTTCCTCGTACATCAGCTGCAGGACCTGGTCCACATAGGTGAGCCGGGTGCTTGCCTTGCCCACACTGATCCTGGTCTGCCCGAAGCAGGCCGCTGCGTGGGAGAAAGGGGAGGAAGAAACACACAATTACGGGCTCCAGTGGCCGGTTTTTCTCATGAGCTCTTCCTGCAAATCCAGACTTTCAAGTTCACAGCTAACACCCTGAATTTTGAGTGGCCAATGTGGTTTGAGCAAATGTTATACATCTACTATTTCATCACATGGCCAAGTGTCCCCCCCACGCTGGCTGCCCGCTGCGGGAGAGGACGGGTGATCTTCGCTTCTCGGCTCTCTGGCCGGAGGACTGCGGAGGCCGGGGTGACTCTGGGCGAGGCGGGCGGGAGGGGCACTCACCCACGCCGGGGGCACAGTTCTCATTCTCCCCGCAGATGCTGAGGAAGACGAGCCCCTTCTCACTGTAAGCGGCCGTGTGTCCGACTTTGCCACTTAGAGAGTTCAGATCGAACAGGTGTCCTACAAGGGGAGGGGACGCAGTTACGCCAGGGAGCTGAGACTCGGGGGCCCATCACCATTGTGCTCACACATGGATCACACTGGCCGCTGGGATGTCTAACTTCTCGCCATGAAACCCTGTCCCCCTCGCTGACATGGCCCTAAAAATGCTCCTGAATGGCCAACCCGTACCACAAGGCCACCAGTCCCCAAATTTCTTAAATGGCTCATCTTTCCCCAGGACGCAGCGGCTCATGGCCCCCTCCTGCCGCTCCTCCAGGAGCTGGGCCACAGCAGCCACTAGGATCCCAGTGGGACGCAGGGAGGCCCAGCGGCACCACTCCGACTGCCTGTGCACCGCCACCTGCATCTTCCAGTTCCCAGAGCAAGAGACTCAGTGGGGGTGTCCTCGTTGTCCGAAGTTAACTTGCACAGGTAACGAGGAGGCTGACTATACCAGCTCCTCTAGCCTAGAGCTGGTGAGACTGGCACCCGCAGACACGGGAGCCACTGGAGCACGGCTCTCGGGAGGCTCAGGGGCCAAGGAGAGCAACAGGGCACCAGACCAGACAGGTCCCAGAGAAAAGGCCGCACGCACACAGGCCAGACGCTGCCGCCTCGGGGCCCTGCTGCCCGGCTGCACCCTGGGTCCCTCACTGCGGCGGCGGGTGACAGCAGCGCCTCACCTGTGGCAGGGTTGGTGACTCTGCAGTCGCCGTGCACGTTGACCTTCACAGGACAGGCGGCGGGGGTGGGCCAGGCGAAGGTGTACTCGCAGTCCTCCACGGCACTGATGAGCATGGGCCTGGAGTTCTAGAGAAAGGACAGGGGCCTGCTGACGGGCACAGGTCTGAAGTTTACAATCACATAACTTGCGTCGGGCAGGGCCTTCCCTGCAGCACACCGTGTGCTTTAGATTTCTGTCTCAACACTAAGGAATGAGGCCGATTTAGGAAAAGCGAAGGGTCCGATTTGCTCCTGAGATACCACTGGGGGCTTCGCACACACAGGGGAGGGAGATGCACCCAGAGCCAGAAATCCACTCGGGGACCAGGAAGGCCTCCCTACAGCTAAGGCACAGGACACAGCCGGGGACAGAGAAGAGAGATGCTCAAGGGCTACTGTGAGTCACAAATGAGCAAATAAGCAATAACACTCTGAAAAGCAAAAGAACTGAAATCTGTGATTATGAACAAAACAAAAAGACCCACCATTAACTCTATGAATCCCTCTCCCGCACCGGCCAAGAGTTGCTCTGCATGTCTCAATGCTTCTTGTCCAGAGCTCAGATTCGCTCAGTGGCCACACCCTCCGGCTAAAGCCACACTGGTTCAGTCCCTGGCACCCGCGTGCAGAGCCCCTCAAGTGTCACCCTCACTTCCCTCCACAGCTCGGCTGGCTCTTCCTTCCTCTGCCGTGAGTCTCTCGGCTGTTACAGAGGAAGATCTATCCAGACCCTGGCAGCTCACAAGTCTAGGCTGAGCCTCTGTACAATCTGCCCATGAGGAACCCCCGCTGCCACTCTGTCCAGAGGGCCGGCCCAGCCCCTGAGCGTCCCTCGTCCCCAATCCTGCTACTGCTGGCCACACACAGCTGAACAGAGTGGGCGGTCTGTCCTGATGCAGAGCAGGCTGGTCCGGCTGGGCCCTCTTCCCAAACTAGCCACGGCTCTGCTCTTACACAAGGCACGTGGGCTCCACCTCAACACCCCAAGCGGACATGTCTCTGTAGGGAGCAGTCCCGGGAAACCACTACTTCAATCCCAGCTGCTGAGGGTTCACATCCCATTCCGGACCTGCCATCACTGTGCACCAACCGCACCCCAGAAACAATGCCTGGCACTTGACACCTCTTCTCTCTAACCCTCACAACTGCTGGGCAAGGCAGGCAGGGCCTGTGTCATTAACAGGTGAATGGCTCATCGCAGTTAAGTAATGAGCCAAGTTCCACAGGTGGACAGGAGACCTGACTCAGGTCTGGCCGACCTTCTGCATTCCCAAACGGCCTCCACGAAGACCAAGGGGTGATGTCAAGTAATGGTTTTCAATCCAGTGTGGGAGTCTGAGTCGAATTTCAAACAGAATCAATGAATTTTGAAGCTGGAATTGCCAGGCTGGGGTGTCTAGAGCCAGAGGAAAAAGGTGCCCCAGGACCACAGGGCCAGCACAAGGCTGCTCCTCACCCACTGATACACCCTGCCATCCTGAGCTCCCAACACACATCCCACGGTGAGTAAGAGGTCGGTCTCACTGACCCCTTCGATTCCCGCTGCCCCCAAAGCTTCAGCACCAGAGCTGAGGAGCTGTGTAACTTACGACTTGGTTCTCGCTGCAGGTGAATCGGATGGTGGTCGACCTCTTCCGAATCAGGTCTGGACACACGTCGCCATTGATGTACTTCAGGATGATCACGCCATCTCTCCCCTGAGGGCCATCTCTCACCCGGCCCAGGTTCACAGGCTTGGAGCCGTTCAGCAGGCACGCGGCCGCTTCCGGAGGGCACGGCTCTGCGGCAGGAGACGCAGGTGAGTTACCTGCGGCCCTTCTCCAGGCTAGAACTTAACTCTGCCTGGCAAGTGAGGTCAGACAAGCTACCTACTGATTCTAACAGCTGTTCTAAAATAATCTGCTTCTCTTACAGCAATCAGAGGACAATGATACCGAGTCCCCAACTCATTTAAATGCTGGTTGGCCAGAGATGGACTGGGACAGGCATGGGGTATGGGGAGAATCCAGGTTGTAACAGCCTGAATTACTTCTGAACATTGAAAATGATGAAGCTAAAATACCTAGATGAAGCCAAAGGGACATTTTAATGTCCTACGTTCATGTGCCATCTTTAGTCAAGAAGGTACCAAGACCTCTGCCACTTTCCCAGTCCCCACACTGTCTGTGCCATGTGCCCTAGATAAAGAACCAGTCCTATGTCACAGACTAAGACCACAGTGTCACCAATCTGCCCAGCAGAGCAAGGGGAGAGGGCCATGGCCTTGAACCACACACGGGATGAAAACAACTTTCTGTCGGTGGAAACCAGGGCCCCGTTCGAACTGAGACACACAAGGTGTGGGCGGGGTGCAGAAAGCTCCGAGACAACAGGACAAGTTTCGTCTTTGGCATTTAAGAGCCTGCGGTGGCACCAGGGTCACTGCAGATTGGTCCTGGTCCCACGCGTACAACTGACTCCGTGCTCAGCACCGGCCCTAAGGTTTGGGTGGGTGGGACCAGCCACCCACATCCCTCTCCATACGCGCAGCAGGCACACAGCCTGTCTCCATGCGTGTCCTGCTACCTCCTGTCCTGCCGAGGACTACCTGTCACCACGATTACTTCTACCCGCCTCCACCTCCTCATGTTCAAAAAGGTTACAACGTTCCCAGCAGAGCCTTCGGCACTGATTTACCCCAGAACACACCAGGATGGGTCCCTGAGACCCTGAAACAGGCCCTCCCGCCGCTGCTGCGCCAAACCCCTCACGAGTCACGGAGAGGAACGCGCCGTCGGAAGCCCAGGCCTACTCATCTCCCCACAAGCCAACCGCGAGCCACCAGCCCTCCGAGGGCCCTCTCACCCGTGCCGGGCTGCGGGGCCAGGGACTTGCAGACGTTGATGAGGTAGTGCTCAGTGGACCCGGTGCTCGTGACGGCTTCCCAGTTGTCACTGTACCGCGACAGGGACGAGAGATCGAAGTTGTTGCCAGCCTCGTCTCTGCAGGGAGGGGAACACTGAAGTCAGGCTCAGCCGTGTGCTACCCAAGTGCTCAGCACGCTGTCCGGAGAGGCTCGGGATGCGGGGCACAGTCCCCCCAACATCTTGGGAATTGGATCTTCCCCGGGGACAGGACTTTAGACTGGACTGCTCCCCCAACAGTCTGCATCAGCGACAGCCCAAGTTCCAGAAGCTTCAAGACTTAGTTCAACACAGTTATGTATTAACAAAAAACCTCCAGACACCAAGCCTGAGAAGCGGGTGCTCTACATGCTCAGGCCAGTGAGAAAACACGTGTGAGCAGCACAGACCACTCCCAGGGACGGGCCACCTGCTGTCCAAACCTGAGGCCACCAAAGGTCACTTATATTAAAACGGGCTGGCGCTGTCCCTTCCACTCAGGCTAACCGGTTACTTATACACGAGTCCCAGATGCAGTCAGTTACTGAGAGCCCAGCCCACAGCAGGTGGTATCAATGGTGACTGAGACCAGCACAGCACGCGGTCCCCGTGGAGTGACAGGTCCCGGCGAAGACAGAGGAACAACTGCACTGCACTGGGTCCAAGCACATCAAGGAGAACAGAAATGCTAAGTGCTAAAGTTGGGGGTGTTGTAGCAAACAAAACAAATAAAGACCACCTATCTTATGAAGTTTACAGAGATTACAGTGGAAGAAAGACAGCACAGAAAGGATGATTTCTTTAAGTGGATAGTATCAGACGTCAATCAGAGCTGAGGACAGAAAAGGCAGGGGGGGGATACCGTTTGGGGAGAGGGGGAAAGAGCAGCTGAGAAGGCCTCACTGGGAAGGTGAACTCTGAATAAACTCTGGAAGACAGGGAACAGCCAGACGTTCAGGGACCTGGTAAAAAACACCACAGGCAGGGGAGCAGCTCGAGCAAAGGGCCTGCAGCACAGGGAGCCTGGAAAGTCAAGGAAAAGCAAGGAGCCCCGTGGGGCTGGAGCAGAGCAAATGTGCGGGAGTGAAAGAGCAAGGGAGTGAGGTCAGAGATAATACAAGGTAGGCTTTTAGCTCATAGTAAGAGCTTCAGCTTATGGTTCCAACGAGACAGGAGCATCACTGCATTGCAGGGCTTCAGGATCATTCCGCTCATTGCTCTGGACGAGTCCCCTGAGTGGCAGCGGGAGCGGGGAGGCCACCTTAGAGGAGACTGCGGTGACACAGGCACACGAAGACAGTGTGAGCCAGGGGACGCACTGTTTCCAGAAGAGAGAATTCTAGATGTCTTGAAGGTTGTTGGGAGCATAAACGGGATGAGAGAGGGAAAGGAGCCAAGGGCAGAGCTGGGATTAACTGACGCGTAATCTGTGGGAGACACAGGTGTTTGCAAAATCGGACCCTGGAGAACTTCAGGTCATGCAGTATCTGATAATACCGTGTTTAAAATGGTTAAAGACCTAAAAGAAGAAACTGAAACTGTAATAAAAGAATATGACACTGGGGGAGGGGGGGAATGGAGGGAAGAAACAATGAACCGGAGAAAATACAAAACAGAATTCCAAGAATGAAAAAGTCATGAAAACTTTAAAGAGGCAACAGATAGCCAAAAGAGCCAATTAAAACCAGCTGATAAGAGAATCAGCCAAGTGGAAACTATGCCCAAGGAAATAGAATACAGTACAGAAAGAGGTGGGAAAGATTAAAATACAGAGACAGAATGTCAATCAGGGCTGAGGAGAGAAAAGGCAGGATAAGATTAGAAGTTCCGAAGGAAAACAACAGAACAGTCAGAGGCAACACTGGGAGACACAGTAAGCTGCAAGTTTTCCAAACTTGAAAACAGATAGCTTTAGTTTTGGAAAAAGCAGCTTCCAAGATCGTAAGTAATACTAACTCCACACCTAAGCAAATCGTACTGAGACTGCAGAACAAACACAAGAAAAACACGTGCAGAGAGGAGCGCTTATCTACAAAGGAGCAGACACCCGGCGGAGGGCAGACGAACGGCAGGTGCGCTCCGGCGGCCGACGGATGACAGTGCGACCCAAACACCCAGCAGGGCCGTCAGCCCCGCTTGGCCGGCGCGGGAAACGCCAAGCCTCTGCGGATCAAGACCGAGACTGTCACCCCGCAGGACCGTCAGAACTCGCAAGCGGTGTCACTCCAGCGCGGTCTGTGTCCCGGGCCCGTCAGCGCGGGGAAAGGAGCCGGAAGATTGCGAAGCGTCAACAGGTTCCCTCGCCGTCGGTGGGCAGCCAGTTCCCGCTCCAGGGCCAACTCATCCCAGCAGGGACCAGGAGCGGACAGGTGACAGCCCAGCTCTATGAGGAGCACGTATACGGGACAGAGTGCTTCAGGAGGAAGGAGAGCCAAGTCAAAGCGAAGGGTAAGGTGCGAAAGGGGGTAACGGGTCACAGAAAGCAACAGGCTTGTTCCTTTTTATTTTCCTAAAAGGAAACCCGCAGGCAGGTGAGCAATGGTGATTTTTAGAAACCATGATAACGGCTTATTTCAGAGGCAGGAAAACAAGCCCCGACGGAAACACAGCTACGCCATCGAGCTGGGGAGGGAGCCCCACCTGAGGCCTGCTACACCGCGGAGTTGTTGGAGAAGTGGGTAGCTACTGATTAACTCCAGCTTTCTGTTAAAGCGGGAACATGTGGTTAAGGCAATCGTTTAAAAAAATGAATTATAAATTCAGGGGATGGACGATAGGGTTTTAAAAAGAAAGAAAGCTAAAACATAATTAGTATCCTCAGAGATAATTAGAAAAACTTATTAGAAATTTAAAATAAATATTTTCAAAGGACAGTTGGTAGGAAAAGTTCAGGAAACATTCCAGGATGGAATAAAAACAGAGACAGGAGGTCAGCAACAAACTTTCACCAACCACACGGCACATGCAGAAAACGGGGCGATGCCTTCAAAACCAAGAGGAAATTATTTTAAATCTGTAATGCTATACACAGCTAATCACATGTGAGAGCAAAATAACGGCATTTTCAAACAACCTGTGGGTTATCTCGCACACAAACGTTCTAAAATACATGAGAATGTGACAAGATTAAACAGCTGCCGTGGCCGGTGTCTCAGTGGTTAGGGCATCGGCCCACGCGCCTGGTCAAGGGCACATGCCTGGGTTGCAGGTTCAGTCCCCAGCCCCAATCAGGGCATGTGTGGGAGGCAACCCATCGATGTGTCTCTCTCATATCAATGTTTCTCTCCCTCCCCCTCCTCCCTTCCACTTTCTCTGAAAAATCAATGGAAAAAATATCCTCAGGTGGGGATTAACCAGGAAAAAAAAAAAAAGCGCTATCTACCAAGGTGGCCATGTTCCAAACACAGAGCCAACTGACATGTGGCCTGATTCTTCGGAACAACATATAAAACAGAAGGAAGGGAATCTTTTGACCCAGACAACCTATTTTCTCCCAACGGAGCAGACCCAGTGACACAGGGCTATGCAGCTCCAACCACACCATGTGATGTTGCAGTAAGTGAAGTTTGCACAATATTGTAAATGTCGCTTATTAGTTCTTAATTCTTCAGAATCACCCCGTGCATAAAGTAGGGAAGACCATCAGAGTTACTAAACATAACATAAATGTTCTAAACCCTGACAACAGTTTGAGGCAGCGGCGAGGAGAAACGGAGGGGGAGGGGAGCCGAGCGAGGACTCCTTCATCACTGTGACCCAGACAAGCAGTGTCCCAGGGAAGAGCAGAGAGAGGCCAGGTGATGTCCTGGTCACTCCACTCAGCTTATGCCGAATGCATCATGCAAGGTTTTCTGTTTTGACGGCAATCGTGCCGCATGCATCCTAACACAAAATAATCCCACTCAGTTGTGAAGGATGTGGGGTTAACCCAACCCAACTCCTCATTTTACTATCAAAGAACTAAGGCATACAGAAATCACCTGACTCGTCTAACCCCGGACCCTAGACCATTAACCATTAAAGCAAAATCCTACCAAGTTCTCAACTGTCCAGAAAGCACTGACTTACTTGAATGAACATTCGGTCACGTCGAAAGGGCGGCAGGCGTACTGTGTCCGCCACTCGAACAGGTAGGAGCAATCTGAAGTCTCCCTCAGAAACACCGGCTGGAAAGGTCGAGAGAGAGACACGCTCATGAAACAGGAAACTTCCGTTTGTTTACATTTTGAGTTTTAAGGATGGAAATAATAAGGGCTGATTACGTTCATTAAAATCTACACAAATTCACCATTTAAATAATGTATTTAAACTAAGCTCAGCAGGCAGGGCTGTGACGAGAGCAGATACTTTTTTTTTTTAAGTATGTGTTTTTATTGATTTCAGAGAGAGGAAGGAAGAGGGGGAGAGAGGGAGAAACATCAATGATGGGAGTCAGTGATCGGCTGCCTCCTGCACGCCCCCTACTGGGGATCGAGCCTGAAACCAGGGCATGTGCCCTGACCGGGAATCGAACCTTGACCTCCTGGTTCATGGGTTGACGCTCAACCACTGAGCCACGCTGGCCAGGCCAGATTCACTTGATAAAGACAGTGGGGTGCGGGTGAGGCGGCTCCCCGCTGCCGTGGAGACCTCCCGAGGGCTCCCAGCTCACCTTCTGGGTGCTGCGGTCACAGTAGAAAAAGATGGTTGTCGAGCGTTGATACACCTTATGGCAGGTGTCCCCCCCAGTGTAGTTCATTTTCAACAGCCCGTTCTCGTAAGTCAGCTTCTTAGTGAGGAGACCTGTTCACGAAGCAGACGGTTAAACAAGGACCGGTCCAGGACGTCCCCCGGTCACCGCGCCTATTGTGACAGACACGCTGCGTCACGCACCCTGAATGAACAGGTGGCTGAGCGTGCGCGGCCTCCCTGCACCTGCCACCTGCTCCCTGTCACACTGTAGCAGGAGGAATGAAACCAGGCTCCTCCCGCCCAGGGTTGCAACAGTGTAGACCAACCACAGAAGGAGGATAGACACTCCTCAGCCCCATCAGCAAAGACGTGTCCCTTCCTCTGCGCAGCCCCTGCGGGCCGCCCACCTACGACAGCAGCTACAGCAGCTACNGCGCAGCCCCTGCGGGCCGCCCACCTACAACAGCAGCTACAGCAGCTACTTTGACTTCTTTTTAAAATGATCTTCAACCTATTATCACTCGCCCCCCCGCTGAGACAATAGGATGGTGAACGGCCTGCCCTACACGTTTTAGAGCCAAACCCTGGACTAAATGTGTCCCCTTTGGGCTGAAGTCTAGAAAGTACCACCTCAGAACACCCATCACTGGCTAGTTCAGTGGGTCCCAATGTTGCAATAAAGGAAAGAAATACGATCTTAGGATCCGTGCTGGTATCGCTAAGTGAAATAACTAAGCTCTAACGACATCCGTCACTGTGCCTTCCGGACAGGAAAACGAGCAGCCAGACACGCTGTTAATGAGAACACAGCAGCCGCCCCTCCTGCTCGAGAACCACGTTCTCTCCAGGCGACGTCTTCACCAGGCCACCCCACGCTCTGCAACAAGAGCAGAAGCCAGCCCGCGGCACCTGCTACTTTGTGGAATCCCAGCGGCCCCCGCTTCTCCTGACAGGACGAGATCTCCTTGGACTTGTCGGTGGAGCAGACACTGGAGGACAGCTTCCCGCAGACCCGGAGGTAGTAGGTGTACTCCCCGGCTTTCACAACCGTGTCGTTCACGGCCAGCGGCTTCAGGTCGTACAGGTGGCCGTGCCTCGGGTCTCTCACCTCACAGTTGTCTCCTGCAAGAACACACAAGTGCTGGGTGATGGCAAGGACACCCGTAATCACGCTTCCGGGCAAAAACTTATACAATTTTCAATCATACAGGTACCACCTTAAAATAGGTACCAAACATGTGTCCACGTTATTTCATTTTGTTTATATATATACGTAATACCAACTGCCTGGCCAACAGCTCTCTAGAAAAGCCCAGGACACGGGATGAAGATCCATTTAATCAAACAATACCACATGGTAATGTGTTCAAGTGTGAGACACCAATAACATCAATCCAGTACAGCAGGAAACGCTGCTGGTCAAGTTGGTGATGTGTGGAGTAAAATAACTCCAGGATAAAAAATTACCTGTTGATTCTAATCACTACGTGGTACTCCTGAAACTAATATAATATGTCAACTGGAATTGAAAATAAACTCCCTAGATAATAGTAAAAAAAAAAAAAAAAATTATCCGTCCACTAATGAGTGTTTCAGGATCACCCAGGTGCCCGTTACCACAGGTTTCACATCTGTGGTGCTGTCCAGGGCACCTGTGACGTCGGACCCTCGCACCACCGGTGAGCTGGGCCCTGGCCTCACCTTCCGCTCTGACCACCGGGCAGGCCTCCACTGTCCTCCAGACAAACACGTACTCACATTCGTCCAGCAGCTGGAACATTGGCGAGCCCTGTAACAGACACCAATGGCTTACTTTCTTTTCATTAAAAAAAAAAAAGTGACACGGCAGCCACAATTAATACCCAACTTTTAACCTCTGTGAGAAAAATCTAGAGCATTTACCACATGAGACCTGGGGGAAACAGCACATTCCAGTTAAACCCTACCAGTGGCCTAAAACCCATGAAAACACAGACCAGTTTTAAATTAGACAGGGGATTCAGAGATTGGAGGGACACGGAGAATGGAACCGACACACGAGGGACCATGCTGTTCACTGCACACGCACCGACGTATGCGAGCACTCGAGTGTGATCCTGGTGGAGAAGCGCTGGCTCCCACACTTGTCGCCGTTGACGTAGACAAGGCTCAGGGACCCGTTAGCAGCGGCTTGAGGACTAATCTGCACCACGCCCAGGTTCCAGCTCTTTTCTTCGGACACCAGGCAAGACCCCACTGCGTTGCCTGGAAGAGCCAGCAGATTGGTGTGGGGTCGGGGGTGGGAGGGAAGAGAGATGGAACTGGAGTCGCAGGCCCTAAACTCACCACGGCACCCGGGAATGTAAGGCAGGGGGGTGCACACGCTCAGGTAGAAAGTTCTCTTTTTTCCATCAACCGAAGTGTCCACAGCAATCCAAGGCTTTCTAACCTTGCTTAAGCCACTCAGGTCATACTCGTTTCCGGCGAGGTCTGAAAGACAACGGGAACGCGCTGGAGCAGCTCCCACGTTAGCCTTGGAGCTCAGCCCCCGACCCCACAAAGGCCCATGCTGCGTGATCTGACTCATGGCTAAGACAGGGGGCCCCCGGAAGCCCGAGCTGCTGTTCACAAGGAAGACCATCGACGTGGAGGTGGGCAACCCACAGAGTGCAGGGTCTTGGGGACACGGACCAGGGTCCTGGGTCCTCCTCTCACAGCTTTACACTTTTTACTTTTCTTCCTCAAATAGGGAACTTGACAGTGTATTTGATTTCCCCCCCCAAGTTTTCTTCTCTGTACTTAAGCAGTTTCTGATCCCAAAATATAGTTTAAAACCATTAATAATCTGATTCTCTTCAAGAGAAACATTCCAAACCTAAGCATCCTTTAAAGGAAATGTGCAACACAAATGGCATGTGCCTGTAAAATAAAATACACCACACACACCCGTGCACACGTACACACACTCACATGCACACGTACATAGTGCACACACTCATGTGCACACACACACATATACACACTCATGTGCACTCACAACGCACTCACATGCAGACACACTCGTGCACACACACACTCGTGACCGGCCTCTTAGTTCCTGGTCCTCCGGGCCTTACCCGTGACCTGGCAATCCACCGGAGAAGGCACACAGGCCAATGCCGTCTCAAGCTCAAAGAAAGTGTTTCGGATCCCCCGGAAAGAGTCCACGTCCTGATGCAGGAATTTGGCGATCCCCGGGTAAACGTCGTCATTGCAGACAAAGCGGATGACGAAAGTATTGCCGGTCTCTGGGGAACGAGGAGAACAGCCTGAGAAACAGCAGCAATCACAGCACAGCCCGGACAACGCTTCTGCTGGGAATGAGCCTCGGGCCACCTTGGAACGTGACATCACAGCGCCAGGTCTGTTTCAAGGGGCCCGATCTGAACCAGAGTGGCCGGTGACGTTATCACGTCCTTTTAACATGGGAGGAAACTGAAGCCAGGAGGTGAAGGAAGGAGCCTGAGGCAACACAGCGGAAAGTGCGGGTCATAAATGAGCCCAGGCCCCGGTGTGCTGGCGCCTGGACTCACACCCAGAGGGAAGGGATGAAAGCGGCTGTAGCCACACAAGCACAGTGGTAACCCTGTGAGAAGAAGAGGATTTCCCAAATCAGAAGAGAAGGGATATGAAAGTGCCTAATCTAGATCATTTTGAAACAGTGCTCTGAAACTGGAGAGCCAAAAAATTATAAAGAATAAAAAAGCAGGTGGTTTTCTGAGTACTGAGGTGACCAAGAGTCAGAGACCTTTCCATGGGGGAAGTAAAGGGTCCGCACCACCCAGCCCTACTGGAGTCCTCCCGTAACCAAATCACTTCTCCCTGCAACTTCCACCTTCAGTCCAGACCCTCCCAACAAATGACAGAGAACAAGCCCGACTCCTCTTCTAAAGGACAATCCCTCCGAGCTGACAGCAGCCCCGGCCTTACACCACCCTCCACAGGAATCACGAACGATCCCTCTGCCGTCTGTGCCAGCGGCTCTCTTCCCGGGGTGCCGCGTTCTCGGTTATCTGTGAGCCCGAGGCGTGGTGCAGAAGGCAGCCCGTGACGCGGCAGTCACAAATCCTGGAGGGCAGGGCCGCCACCCACTCCCTTCCAGATACGCTCCAACTGGCGCATTTATACTGTGACGCCCCCTCGTGAGTTTCCCAAGGAGCGGTGGGAAGAGCGTAATTAAAAGCCAGACAGGTGGCTTCAAATCTCAGCCCTGCTTACTAGCTGTGAACCCCTGGGCAAATTACTGCACCTCCGTGGGCCTCGGTCTCCTCCCCTGCAAGAGGGAAATGTACTAACTGGCAGAGCCAGGGTGAAAATCCAAAGACCCGGGCCCTGACCCTGGCACTGCCCACCAATAAGCTACTGGCTCTGTCCAGGGAACGGGGCCTTTTCGGTCCCTCGTCACCTATAAAGTGAAGAGGTGGGTAAGCAGAAGGGCACGAGCACTGCTGAGGGCGGGTGAGAACCAGCCGGCCACGTGCACCCAGCGTCCTGCCCCAGGAAGCACTCGATGCAGAACAGGGGCGCCAACCGCCAGCACCACCCTCCTGCACCGTGACACCAGGTTCCTGCTGTGTGACAGTCACAGAAGAGAGTAAAAACGTTAAGAAGCAACACAGCAAAGCTGTCTGTAGAGACACAAGGAAGACTAAGTGGGAGAAGTGGAGGAAACAAAGGGAAAAACAAAGTAACTTTTATTATCGTCCGGTCAGTCTCCAGCACCTGAAAGAGACGGGATAAAAGGGAAGTGACAGCGTCCCACGTGAGGACCACTGACGAAGGACGCCGGGAGGAGGGAGCGAGTGGGCAGCAGTGGCCCGGCAACCTCTCTAGTTACAGGACCGCCTCTGTGGGACCTGGGCAAACGCAGGGACGCATCGGCGTGGTGCCCGTGAGCCCGAAGGACTCTGGGACACTGCAGGGGCTCATGCGTCACACGCTCAGAAAGGGAGACAGTCACAGAACCGCTGGGACACAGGTCGGCTACGCCAACGTGGCTCTGGGCTCACCTTTGGTTTCGGAGTAGGGCCCCTCGTAGGTCAGAGTTAAAAAGCCCTCTGTGGATAGCTCGAGGCGCTTCTCGAATCCAACCAGCCGCTCTGGCTTCAGATTCTTGATATCTGCCGTGTGGGTCACCACCTCGCAGCCGGACGCTGGCTTTCCGTTCAGGTTCCCGCAGATCGACATTGTGCCGCACACGTTAAACTGCAGGCCAGACGGCAAGAAGCAAACACATGGAGCTCAGACCACGTAACTCACCACAAACGAATCAGAGTCCTGCAACCCAGACCCGCCAGGCTGGACAGCTGCTGCTGTCCGCTGTTTGTCACCAGCTCCCCATGGTTGGGCAGGGGAGTCCTAGAGTCAGCATCAAGGGCAAAGTCCAGTGGCAATGCCCACAAACGGCCTCCGAGGCGCTGCACATGTTCATTTATATGTCCCTGCACCTCCAAATGCACAGGGATACACCTCAGGTAACAATGCGCCGTGTGTAACCGAGGATGCATGTGACCCATCATCTTACAGTATTTTAAATCACATTAGAGAAAGAATATCCAGCTGAAATCACAGGAATTAAAAGTAAGTATAACGTGATGCCCTAGACTTCTAAAGATGTTGGTGTCATTCCACTTAAGTTCAATTATAGTCACTGTAGTTATGAAAAGAAAGTAGGCCCCTCTCTGGTGTGGAGACGGAAAGGCGTCGAGACCTCTGTGTATGAAGTGTGCACAATGTGTTGAAATTAACGACTATGTACAGAAAGTGGTTTTCTAAAGAGCCTCGTTCCCCTACGTCAGACATGGCCGGGTGGTGCAATGCCAAGTAGTCAGGGTGCATCTCGTCCAGCATGTTCATAGGGATTCGTGTCTAGAATGTTCTCTACGGGGTTCAACCAGGTTCTCGTCTGCCTCACGCTCTTACAGGCAGCTAAATCCACGCTCACCTACTGGACACCACACTCTCACCTATTATAAACCACCTGGTACAAGCTGAACTCTGCAGGAGCAGTTAGGGGTGCAGGGCAGGGAACCACCTCACTCAGAAGGGTGCTGCTGAGCGACCCACCTCACCCCAGGGTCCTCCTGGGCTGTGGAACAAGCCATGTGCTCGCTTTCCTGTGTGACACGTACACAAAGCTCCCTCTGCATCAAACTGTTATAACATGCTCGCCCCAACTTCCTGCTTCCACTACGGCTTTTGCTACAAGAATTTGAACAAACTAAGATAAAGATTTTTTAAGCTTTTTCCCTTTCTGGTGGAGCTTCGTTTATGGCACAGCAGCATTAACGTGGACATTTCCCACCTTGCTGCTCCAGAGACACTGTTGGGGGGTCTACGAAGGCAGCGCTGTCAGAAGGGTCTAGAACAGCCATCTCGCATGTTTCCCTTTCGAAGGGTAATATAATTACCATTTCCTCTGGACTAGAGGTTCTCAGACCCCAGTGGGCACCAGATCACCCAGAGGGCTTGTTAAATCAAACTGCCGGCCCCATCCATGAGAACCTGTGTTTCTAAGAAGTCCCTAGATAAGACGGGTGCAGCTGGCCCAGGGACCCCACTCCAGGCTCAGTAGCAGATGAGGAATAACTGGCTTTTTGAAGAACGGCTCCCTCGCGTCTGCACTGTACTGGGATGGGGTGATGGCTTTACCTCATTTCCCCCTGAAATCCGGAATCTCCTGTCTCCTCCTGGGTCAGAGCTGCCATCCCAGTGCCCGGGGCCACTCCTAAGGACGGCCACCTTCCCTGTCGCCAGCTGCAGGTGACTTTCGCGCACCCTGTCCTCGTTTCAAAGCAAACTGGAGTTTTTACAACTCACTTAACTCTTACCGCAAATGTCTTCCCGATGCCGGTGACCATATAGCCTTGGGAGGTGTTCAGCGGGTTCAGGTCGAACACGTACCCGCTGTTAGGGTCCCTGATAGAGCAGGCCTGTGTGGACAAGGAGAAGAGACGCGTTCAAACCAAGTCCTCGCCCTGGAGGGCACAACAAACACAGCACCTCCCAAACCTGCATGGGGGGCATCCCAGACCCTGTTCTCCTCTGAGGAAGCCCAGGGAGAAAGCAGCCCTTAGCCGCGCCCTGGAGCCTGCCCGGGAGCTGGGCCAGACGGCACACCCACCTGGAGGCCCTTAGGGCTGCTCTGCTTACCTGCGTAAGACCACGGCTGACCTCTGAGGGGAAAGGCAGGAACAATAAGAGACCCATAAATAATGTTTTAAATCCACTTAAGGCAGCTGATGCAAGTCCTGTTTTCTCAGTGTCCCTTCTCTTCTACGAGTGATGAGCCCCTCAGCCCATGCCTTTTGTTCTGCCCCATCCACCACATACAAGGAAAGGAGCGGCGGCCACAGCCCAGGAAGCACTGACCCAGGACAGGGCGCAGCCTCCCACCCTCCCCGCCCGCCCGGGTTCCACCCTGTGCAGGGACATCATTCAGGGGAGCCTGGGCTCTGCCGTCAAGGAGTCTGCCTCCCAGCAAGAGTTAAAGAAGGGAGGGCGGAAAATACGTCCCATTATAAGGAAAAACAGCCAGGGCTGTGCAGACAGGAGCCGCCCTCGGGAGGTAGGAGGATGCCTCACAGCAGTGCCCCCGGCAGGGCAGGGCTCACGGAGGGCCAGCGCGAGGCCAAGGGGCAGGCGG